TCATAGGTGCTTCTCTTACTCTTACCTTTCTAGAAACTACTTGGAGAAAATACATTTCTCCCATATTCACCAATAAATTATGGTTAGATTACTGCAAATTCCTTTTATGGGCAATTCATTCAGTATCTTCCCCACACTAACCTTCCTCCTAAAAGAAACTATCCCACCCTAGGCACAGCAGATTGGAACAATGACAACTGACAATGGTAATGGTAACTGACCCCAGGGTTAGATGTCTTCATGAGGCCAGCAACTCATGAAATTGCCTCACACAGAAAGCCCTTTTCATACAGCAATAGTGGTGACTGGCTGGGTCAACTGAAAGATCTCTTTCTAGACTGGGAAATTCTGCATAGAAGCAATCAATCGATAATAGCAAGAGAACAGAAAAGAGAAGGAGAAAGTGAGGGAGCAGCTGAGCATCAGCGATGGTGTGACAACTAAAAACCTTTATCACCAGATGGGGTAGAGAACTCCAAGATACTCTGATTCCCATCAATTTCAGTCCCACAAATGTGGTATCGGCCTCTGTGGATGTTCTAAAATAACAAGATAAAATGCCCACTCTGTCACTCTTTTCTCCACCTATAATTCTGTGTTAATTAAATATAGCACCAGACCAACTCATTCTACTAACCAAGTGTCATATGAATATGATAAAACAAAACTTTAAACCATGGTCTCTTATAATCCTAATATGGGAAAAAGCAAAGATTTGGGGATGGCATAGGAAAATGTTCTCACAGCTCAATGTCAGCCCAGTTTATTCAAAGCACTAACTGTCCAAAATAAAATTAAAATTAATGTACAAATAATGGGAAGAAAATTCTATCCAGTATCTATAATGCGTCAGGCATTTTACAAATAGCATCTCATTAAATAACTCTCCCTAAAAGGTAGGTAAAAGTATTGTTATCATCCTAATTTTACAAATAAGAAAGCTGAGGCTCAGACGATCTAAGTAACCCATCCATATCCACACAGCAAATAAATGCCTGAACTGGAATTTAAACCCAGGTTCTGCCTGACTCCAGCACCCATGTTCTTTACACTCTACCACTCTGCCTTATAAGAGACCATTAAGATAACTCGACATGTTTCATTTCTCAGGAGACCCCAAAAATTTTTTGCAGCCATCAGAAAGGCTCTATTAGGGGGGCACCTGGGTGGCTCAGTGGGTTAAGCCTCTGCCTTTGTCTCGGATCATGATCTCAGGGTCCTGGGATCGAGCCCCACATCGGGCTCTCTGCTCAGCAGGGAGCCTGCTTCCCCCCCCCCCGCACCTGCCTGCCTCTCTGCCTACCTGTGATCTCTGTCAAATAAATAAATAAAATCTTTAAAAAAGAAAAAAAGAAAGGCTCTATTAAGGAGCACCTGGGTGGCTCAGTCGGTTAAGCATCCTATTCAGTTTCGGCTTGTGTTGTGCTCTTGGGGTCATGAGATTGAGCCCAGGGTCGGACTCTAGGCTCAGCAGGGAATATACTTGGGAGTCTCTGCCTGTCCCTTTCTCTCTGTCCCTCCCCCCATTCATGTTCACTCTCTCTCAAATAAATAAATAAATAAAATCTTCAAAAAAAAAAAAAAAAAGAAGAAGGAAAACTCTCTATGCATACTGATCTATAACAATCTCCAAAATATATCGTGAAGCCCAAAAAAGCAAAATGCAAAATGGGGTGTATAGTGTGCTAACATTCATGTTTAAAAAACTGGAGACAATGAGTGGGAGTAATATATGCACACACACGCTATGCATAGGATATGAAGGATAGCAAGACATGGTTAAAAGTGAACATGGCAAATGCTCCACTGTCTCCCCTTCTGTTTTTCTGAATTTGGAACAAGGGTATATTTCATCCATTCAAATGAATACATACTTTTTTTAAATCACAAAGTGATTTCAACAACCTATAAACTTCTGTCCCTTGTGGTGTTTTCAAGCATGAAGATATTCCCAGTTTTCTTTGCCTGAGACTTCAAAGCAAGTCATCCAAAAGCAACAGAAATCAGAAAGTGGGTTCAATAGACACCCAGATGCCCAGAGCACTCTTCTCTCATTTTTATAAGAATTAACACTCATAGGAAAATAAGTAAAACAGCCTCAAAGAGAAACTTAGTTATTTTTTGCCTAGAAAATGAATGAGATTTGGAAAATTCTGAGGTGAGGGATTACCAGAATAGGGGAATCAATAATAAACAGAGCACACTTTCTCTCTAACCTGTCTCTATCTTCCTCTTCCTTCCACCTCTGATTAAAACCAAAATCTCTACTGAAGTTGCTCCCACTTGAGAGAAAATGAGGAGGAGGTGGAGGAGGAAGAGGATGAGGACATGGAGAAACTTTATGCCAAAATAATTTCCAGATCCATTAAAGATTTAAGTATCAAAGGTGTGGACATAACAAGACTAACAGAAATTACAAGTGAATAAGATATAATTAAGTAGTGGGGAAGTTCTTTCTAAAAACATGTAACAAAGGCAAAAAACATCAAGGAAATGAACAATAGATCTGACAAAACACGAATTTTAAATTTTGTACATAAAAAAGTCATAACCAACAATTATGAGTCAAATAACCAATGGAAAATATTTGTAACATTACAAAACTCTTTACTATTTGAAGAGTTTTTATTAAAATCACCCAAAACTGAAAGGAGAACAAGAAACAGAAAGACAAACTCCCTCCTCCATGAAATTGGGAGTTATCAGTAACCCCAAACCACAGACTATGAAGACTGGCAAATGGTTTTGCTGAGAGGAAAGAGGTCAGACCAAGTGCCTACAAAGGAGTTTGTCCCTCAGAACCCTCAAAAGCAGGAATATTAAAATCCCAGAGAAAGAGCAAGGCCAGGGCAGGTGGGGCTAATACCAGGGGTGGTTTTAAGAAGAATTTAAGCTTCCTGAGACTCCTTCCACCTCTTATGATCGAACAACTCCACTCCCGCTGGAAAAGATATATCCTCTGGAGAAACCAGACCAGAGAGGTTCTGGACTCCAGAAATTGAGGAAGACACAGGAAGACATCATACTGAAAATAAAGAGGCTAAGTAAAGATTTGCAAATACGCCCACGTGCACACACCCTGGTAGAATACATGCAGCTGTCTTACAGTTCCCAGGCAAAAGCTGAACTAGATAGAGGTCCTATCATGGAAGGTTTTTCCTGTGGTCAGATTGTTGGACCAGTGGGGGCTGCTGAGCGTGAGGTTGCTAAGACCCTCCCTCCACAGAAAAGAGAGTATTTTCCTGCCAGTTGAAAGGATAAGGGGTGAAGCTGAAAGGGGTAAACACTGAAGGGGTAAGCAAGTCAGGATGAAGAAAGGGGGAAGGCTTTGGGGGTAGGGGTGGGTAACCGACTTGCACACATCACCAGAAGGCGTGACCAGCCCTGTCAGAAGTAACTTGCTCTGTTATCTTTAAAATGCCCTGAGGATGGGGCGCCTGGGTGGCTCAGTGGGTTAAAGCCTCTGCCTTCGGCTCGGGTCATGATCCCAGGGTCCTGGGATCGAGCCCCGCATTGGCTCTCTACTCAGCAGGGAGCCTGCTTCCTCCTCTCTCTCTGCCTACTTCTGATCTCTCTCTGTGTCAAATAAATAAATAAAATCTTAAAATGCCCTGAGGAAACTGAGACAATAAAATTGGCAAACAATTATTCAGAACTCATCAGTGCTGTTTCATAGAGTTTCCTCCCTCTTTCTACTCTCCCTTCCTTGCTGGACTCCACAGATACTGTCTAGACTCCAGCTTCAACAAAGATAATCCCACTGTCCATGGTCTTGACTCATGACCTCTCATTCCCCACCTTCCCAGACTTTGTTTTGTTTCCCCTTAAATGCTGACCTACAGAGGATCCAAGAGGATACCACCTCCCAAAGTCCCAAATCACGCATAAGATCTGATGTTTGTCCCAGTCCCTGCGAATGACCAGGCTTGTCCCTGGACTCTGTCATAAATCTCAACATCTTCAGAGAGACAATCCGCTTAACCTGGCAAAACCAAGTCCAAGGTGTACTTTTAGACCTAGGCAAAAACAGTAATGGGGGTGGGACCCCTATGATAACTATGGATGCAACCCACAGAATCTATGTGTCTAATTATCCCATGAAGCTAAATATAATTGTAATTGGATTGAAACCAACATAGTCAAATGGAAACCATAAAAGTTAATCCCAAGGTTTCTCTCTTTTATCTTCTGTAATACCCCTCATGAAAAGTGCTCTTCTTCCACACCCACCACAAAGTGCTGACCAGGCAAGGTCCTGCATTCCCTCAAATCTAGACACTGCTCCCAGAGAGACTGCATGGTATACGGCAAAAATGCTGCGCCTGGCCTCGGAAAGCCCAGGGTTCAAATAACCCCTCTCTGTACATTATTACTTTTCCCACATGCAAAGTAGGGAGAAGTAACCGTCTCCCCCTGTTGTGCTAAGGATTAGAAGTTACATATATGAGGGGTGCTGGGGTGGCTCGTCAGTTGAGCACCTGGCTCTTGGTTTCAGCTGGGGCTGTGCTCTCAGGGTTGTGAGGATCGACCCCTGTATCGGGCTCCAGGACCAACGCAGTCCGCGGGAGATTCCCCCTGCTCTTTGTCTCTCTCAAATAAGTTTTTTAAAATCTTAAAAAAAAAAAAAAAAAAAAAAAAAAGAGGGAGAGAGAGAGAAGTGACATATTAAAGTGATGACCGGAACCCCTGGCTCCAATTAGGCTTCTGCAAATTGTAGCCATTGCAGTCAGGAACCAAGTAGCGATTCCAGGCACCAGGCTGTCCTGGCTTGATGGTATTAAGAAGTGAATGCTGCATCTCACTACCTCTCAGGAAATTTCCAAAGGAGCCTCTTCGGACTTCCAAGTAAGCAGAGGCCCAGCTAAGTGTGTGTGTGTGTGTGGGTGGGTGTGGTGTATATATGTGTGCCAGGTACGAGCTTGGAAGCCAGTCCGGGCAGATCTCTGGGGAGTCGCTGCTTTCCCCTGCTCCGGAGGAGAATACTGAGACTGTTCACACACCTGGAAGAGGTTAGCAGCTTCCAGGACCCGCTGCACATTCTGCTTGGTGATCAAAGCCTTGCTGGTATATGTGTAGTCCAGGAGAGTGTGCATGGTCTCAGCATCGACCCCTTTGATAATGATCCTCTTCTCGTACTTTTCCTTTAAATCATTGCAGAACATGGCCCTGGAAGAGAGATGTATGAATGTGAGTCCTACTGTGATTCTTAGTTCTAGGTTTAAACAGACCCCCCTCACACCCATCTACCCCCATGGAACAGCGAGGTTCCTAAGGTCAAGACCTGGGATGATTGCTTTCTGTTCCTCCAACACCCAGCACACACCAGACATTCAACTGGTACTTAACTAAACTGAACTGCTGTGCCCAACTGTGGTCCCTACAGCAGTCCCAGATCTGAAGGGACAATAAGAGCCCCACTGGCCAAACTGGTGGGATCTAGAACTACTTTACTGGCCCAAAAAACTACTTCAATGGCTCAGAGTGCTAGAGATTGTTCTGGGAGCATTGTGGGTCCCCTCTCCTGCCCAGGCCTTATCTACTTTCTCAATGACTAGTATCCCAAAACAAGGTTTCTGACTTCATTCTCAGTCCTCATTCCAGGTTTCCTCTGGCCTGAAGCCTGGCCCTATAGCCTGGTCTGGCCAGCGGGGCCTCAAATGCTGGAAGGGATTTAAATATCAGGCAGTCTCTGGACTTGTGTCCCCCTAAAATTCATATATTGAAGCCCTAACCCACCAATGTAGATAGCACTTTTTTTAAAAGATTTTTTAAAATTTATTTGACAGACAGAGATCACAAGTAGGCAGAGAGGCAGGCAGAGAAAGAGGAGGAAGCAGGCTCCCTGCTGAGCAGAGAGCCCAATGCAGGGCTCGATCCCAGGACCCTGAGATCATGACCTGAGTCGAAGGCAGAGGCTTAACCTACTGAGCCACCCAGGCGGCCCCTGTACATAGCAATTTTAGCAGATAATTAAGGTGAAATGAAGTTGTAAGGGGGGGGGGGGTCCTAATCCAATAGGATTGGTGTCCTTAAAAGAAGAGGGAGAGACACCAAACTCTTTCTCTCTCTCTCTCTGCCATGTGAGCATAGTGGCTATAAGCCAGGAGAGTCCTCACCAGAAGGTGACCATGCTGGTCACCCTGATCTTGGACTTTCAGTCTCTAAAAGTGTGAGAAAATAAATTTGTGTTGTTGAAGCCACCCAGTCTATGGTATTTTTTTTTTTTTATGACAGCCCAGGCTGGCTAATATAAACAGTCTCTCCCCTAACCCCTAGTACTCCAGAATCTAGCAAGACACATATGCACAAATTATAGTCTACAAGGGTCAAAAAGACTTACAAAGTGCTGTACTGGCCAGAGATGGCTGCTCATGGAAAAAATGTTGCTATGTGACAACTGTGGTTAGGACTTTCAGGTAATAAACATGAGAAGTAGATGCAAGAGTGTGGGACATGCAGAGGCTCTAGCAGGCTGGTGGTTTGGCCGGAGCCCAGGGGCTATGAGAGAGGGTGGGGAGAGATCAGTGCAGCCAGATAACCTAGGTCCTGATTGTGGAAGGTACTGGAGGCAGGCTGAAGAGTTCGGTTTTTATTAAGTAGGCAATGGGGAGCCATTGAAGGGAGCAGAAGCAGGACTCAAAAAGAACATATTTAACAGGTGTGTTCTCATTTTAGTTTGTTGGTGACAGGTGCCTTTAGAGTAATGCATTAATTGCACCCATACAGAGCTTGGAGGCTTGTGACAATGCCAAAGCCTTATCCCAGAAACCGTACTAATTGAGGCAGTCGCCACCCTGCTAGGCAACTGGACCTCCTGAACTTCAGATACATGAACAAGACCTTTAGAAAGCCGTTATCTCCTCGCCAAGTCACTGAAATGGGAAGGCGCCAGGGTCACAGAACGCACTTCCCCAAACTGGGACTTCCATGCCAACACAGAGGGATTTACTCCTAAATCCTGCTACTCCTCCCTTCTCCACACCTCCTATTTATCTCTGGGAATCCCTCATCAATTTTTTTACCCCATTTCCTAATCTGCAAAACCAAAGTAACTGCTTCTGGTGTCCCAGGAACAATTATAAACATCAAAAGTCCCCAGAAAGAAAGAGATTGAGAAGAAGAGAGAAAGAAGAAAGAGAGAGAGAGAGAGAAATCACTTGACTAGCTGACTTTTTGAACCTTCTGTTTTAACCAATGAGATCTTCTCCCTAGGGTCTCCTTGTGTCCTTCCCAGCTCCTTATTGTAATCAACATTAATCTTCCCACCCCTCTCTCCCTCCTCCTCTTCTCTTCCCTCAACTGGCCTCTTTCTCTTAGGGAATATGACAGCAAGAAAGAAAGTAAAAATGTGAATTCTGCAGAGTTACTAAATTGCAACTTGAAAGCAGAGAGGCAGTGATGTCATTTGGGCAGATGGCTGATTTACAAGCCACTTTTGTCAGCCATAAATTCTCTTGACCAGAGATGCACAGCGCCATCCGCAGAACCATATACCTTGTGAGGTGGTATCACACAGGACCCACCTTGCCGCCTCCTGATCCCATAGAGAACCCTGCCATCACAGCAAGCACACAATTTCTTCCCAGCTCAGCCTCTCCAGGATTTGAACAACTTCACTTGCTAAGCCTCTCTTTTTTTTGAGTCCCTAGAGGAGCGCCACCCAATAGAAATATAATGCAAGCCATATGTGTAATTTCAGATTTTCTAGTAATGATGTTTTTAAAAGTAAGAGGAGATAAAGTTAATTTCATTTAACCCAATACACTTCAAATGTTATTTCAACACGTAACAAATATTTCATAATTATTAATGAAATAAGTTACATTCGTTTTTCCACACTGAGACTTCAAAATCCCTCATGTATATTTCGTACTTAAAACACACCTTGATTCAGACCAGTCATAATTCAACTGCTCAACAGCTGCATGCACCTAGTGGCTATTCTATTAGATGGCAAAGCTCTAGAGCATCACCCAGATCTGCCATCATCTCAGGGGTAAAGTGAATGTCACCCACATGAATGTTATGTACATCAATATGGAAAATGGGACTTTTGGCAGGAGAGGGTGGGCAGTGATGATGGGGTCGAATGAGTCTTCACATAACTGAGGCAACATATCGACAGAGTCCCACCAAGGTGAAATTTAGAAATGCTATTTCACCTGCAATGTGATTTTAAGATTAGTAAAATATGAATTTTGTTGAATCTATATGATCTCAAATATTACAATGAGAGCTGTAAAAGTCCAACAGAGAGATGTTTTAATATTAAACAAGATAGGTATATAATTTATTATATATATACTATATATATAAGTTATATAATTCAATGTCTTACACTTTGAGGGGCTCTTTTGAAGGCTATGTCTTTCCCATGTGACACGGTTATTGGAATCTCTGGGATCATCTGAACTCTTGGTCAGGCCTGTCACTGCTAGACACAGCTTCTGAATTTTCTGTTGGAATCAGTCATTGAGTAACATCCTGCTTCAGCTCAGACCCTACCCAAGTGGGACTCTTGATTGCCCAGAAGCTGACCCTTATCAGCTAGTGATGTGTTAGGGATATAGGAAGAACAGAACAGGGGAAGGCAGGAGGTTAAGCAAGACAAAACTCATACAGAAACTTCTGCTTGATCCTACGTGGGACCATTGGTGAATACACTCCAGAGCTGTCCCCATAAGAGGCAAAGAAGCTGATCTATGATTCTCCAGCACCTGCTGACAGTCTTAGTTATGGGCCATCCCAGAAGTAGGTAAATTCTCAGGCACTTTCGGCTTTCTGTGTGTGTGTGACTGGATGTGTGCACAAGCAAAGGGGCTCCGGGAACCCAGGAGAGGGTAGGAAGTAGAGTCTGCAGTGCAGGCTATTGGAAGGCAAAGGGGGCTGTGGTCTAGACTAGGCTCTGATGCTACTTCGTTACATGATTTTGTACAAGTGAGCAAACCTCATTTCCCCCTATGTAAAATGATATGATAATAGTCCCTACCCCAGTGAACTGTTGTGAAGAATAAGTAAGATAATATAAACAAAGTGGTTTGCATGATACCCAGCACTTACTAGGGAAAGGTATTTTAGACCAGGTCAGAGGAATCTTGGCAGGCTGTTGGGAGATACTTAGAATAGGCAGGCCCATCACACTCTGTCTTGCAACTCTTGACTTGCCAGCATTTGGCCTGGTGCCTATCAGGTAAGTGGGTGTCAGAGTCACTGCACTGCTGTCCACAGCCCCTCCAGAACAGAGTAAGGGCTAGGGCTACACACAGTCTGGTCCAGAGACATTAGCACGGTGCCTGTCACATGGTAGGAGCTTAATAAATGTTCATGGGAGAGAGAAAGGAAGTGCCCTAAAGACAGGGTCCTCTCTCTAGGGCTCTTTTTGCCTGCTTTGGCTCCCAAAGTGCCAGTATTTTTCTGCTCTTTTCCGAGACTTTGTCACTAATTTTCTGTCACTTAAATACATTCTCCTGGGCCACAATCATGCTCAATACTGACAAGGTGAAACTAGAAGAGATCTACATATTTCTCATAGACCAAACTCCCAGGCCCCCTGCTGCTCTCTTGGGCAATCCATGGAAATACCTAGGCCAAATTGGGACCCCATAAAAGGTATATAAATCTATGTAAAGTGGGTCATCCCTAGATTTACACTTTAATAACAGTAATCTCTTACATTTATGATTTTAGCACATTGTAGGACAAAGAATAGTACTTTTTTATTATTATACCCATTTTATAGCTGATAGACTATAGAGATAGAACCTAAGTGAATTGCCCAACGCCATATGGGCTGTCAGAAATAGAACGGAGATGAGAACCTTGGGCTTTTTAGTCTGGAGCTCAACAGTGTGCTGAAACCAAGAAAATCAGCAGGGGTTCAAGGCTACCTTTAGGGGTCAGCTGAACGAGAGCACCAACAGAACCAGACCAAATTTCACTCTGTGAAACAAAGCCGAGTTAGTTGCTAATCGTTTACTCCTTGGCTTACACTTGAGATAAATAAATTTTTGTGTAATAAAAAATACTTTCTAGACAGACACTGACCAATTCTCATGAGATTCTTGTAAAACAGAGGTAGCTATTAAGATCCTCATTTCTAATAGAAATAGTCTCAAGTAGGGAGCCAGTTGCCCAATACTCAGCAGTGAGTCAGTGCCAATCCCAAA